AGATCTTACGTAGAAGTCATACCATCGTCTACACCAACTCATCGTATAGTAACAATCACCAATACATGATGTAGAACAAGCTTAGGCCAGAGAAAGAACAATATATTTGATATGAATAAAAGATATAAGATAACATTCAACAAGTACCACGCCTGCAAGACCAAGCCATACCATCCGATCAGCTCCAATTAAATTCAACTTATTCTTCCCGCCCTCTTCATCGCCGGGTTTTTCCCCGTGTTAAACGTTGAATGTCTATTTCCCACGTTGTCTCGTATTAGGGCCCAGTGCCATTACAGATTCATATAGAGCACTTTACTTGAGGAGAGCGCAGTGTCAATGCTATCTGCGGAGAAGTATTATTACCATGGTAAGCACCGAATAACAAATCCAGTGCCCTCATATGCTTGTTGATCAGTCTACCAACTCTCGTACTGTGTTACTGCACCATAGTTTGTTAGTACAGTGTTTGGAGACTGACATATTCCCACTACGACTTTACAATCACACATGAACAGTTCATGACTGGCGTGCACTGTGGTCAGGTCGATGTTGGTTGTAAACATTAGGTCAAGTATATTATTCCTTCTAATGGGCTTTCAGACCTGTAGGATCCATTCGCAAAGTTATGTCCTTTCAACTAAATTTTTATATCGTCCTAGTACCAAAGCTGAATTCCATGTAATGCTTAGTAGATTAAACTCACGTGTGACTGACGCGAAACAACGAAAAATATATTTGTCAACAGTTTATTATAGTTGGTACCCGCATGGAGTGGTTTGTATATACATCCCATCAGTAGATAATTTTGTGGAGTCACTTATAGTATCAAGATAGTCATTCTAAAATTTACATGCTTGAGTGTTCAAATGGACATTAATAGTTGTACCGCCTCACATTGTATGGCGTCTGTCGTATAGAAATAAAAACAGTTGTCTACATTTAAGGAGTGATCAGACATAGTTGATTCACACCACATTCCCGTAATAAGGAAATTGTCTGGATTTACAGGGAGTAAAAGGGTCATAGCATAACTAATTTTATTGAGGAAAGAACGGGCATTGAGAGAACGAATAAAAGACTGAAAGGTATCATCAAGAAGCAGGTTATACATGTTATAATTAGTAGTTCCGTGAATACTTGAGGGATTGGGTAAGGTAGGAAGGGTTATGAGAAAGAGTAAATTCAGTAGTTTAGTCGGCATTTGTAATATATTAACCGTTGCTGGCAAAATTAATATCTAATTGCTGTTTACCTTAGCATCTTATAGTAGTCTGATGTATATCCTGAGAGCTGAACCAAGAGGGCTGTTAGGCTTACATAAGAGACTGACTAGCCGTCATAATTCAAGTTATTTCTTATATCTACTGTACGTGTAATATGTCCTAAACATCAGCCTATACTTTTTGTGGTTTCTCCGTAATTTTTGGGGAATCAATTGTCACTAAACATGCCTTAATTGCCCGGTATCTGACTCCTGTTGAATCGTATGAATGATTGTTATTGAAACACACATGTCATCTATCTTTATATAAAGTTATTGACTTAATCCGCGTTAGTGAATAACGGAATTAAATAAACCAAATACGAGAATGAAGTTTTGAATACATATATTTTGTACACTCAGTGATTTGAACAGGCAATCAGGGAGACGAAACAAAGAGGGAAGAGCGAAGTAAATTAAAGAAGACAAGCGAGACAACTCGATTCAATCAAGCTTTAGTGAATATTTATAACCTGATAAAAATAAGCTACAGACATGTGATGAGTAGGATAAGATGTACACACACTCATCTAAAAACAATCAGAAGAAATAAGCCAGTAAGTGAAAAGTTCAAAATGTGGTTTAAGAATAGATAGATTGACTTGTCCGGAAGCTAGAATAAACAATGTGGGTTTAACATAGCACAAGACGTTACATTACTCCCAACAATGCTTCCAGTGTTTTTCCGATGTTCATATATATTTATCTCTGGTAAATAATCAGTTATATAATTTTTGTCACCGTTTTAAGCATTGGTCGTATCACAGTCATTAAAACTAGACATTGCACACACAGAATTATCAGCTGTATTATCTGAGCCACTGACAGAACAATTGTTTGTATTTCGATAACAATCAACATACTTGAGTTCATTTTTAGCCAAGAAAATCTTTCCATGATGAGTTTCACAGTAGTGCAGACCCCTGGATGAGATAATGAGTGGAGACAGTTAAAACCCATCTTTCTGTACACCAGTGGCATGAATGGTCTGTGTGTTAGTACAACCAAACAATTATTTCCGTTTTTTACCATTAATACAGAGAAGTAATAGATACTGAGTATCAATGTGGTTACATATGAAGTGTTACAAATAAAGAAGATATGGTCTTTATTTTGCTGTTACAAAAATCATTGAATATACAGTCACTATACCTTCTAGTCCATCATCAAGGAAGCAAAACTCATATTTACCCAGTCCTTATAACTTTGTAAAGTTGTTGGCCACAGTATAACCTCAAAATGAAGAGGAAAGAACAGTGCATCCTCAAACTCTCTGATAAGCGTAGAAAATTCAAGTGAAAAGTCACTTTGTTATTTGAGCACAAAGCAACCCTAGTTTATTCATATATTTTGATCTCTGACATATCTCTAAAGGAGATACATGTTAATCGATGAAATGTTCTATCTTAAAAATATAAATTAACAGATCAGACCACTTTGAGCTATCGAAAATATATACACTCCGGTAAACATTCCTTTTTCGTTAAAAGCTGTGGGTTTAAGTTTTATAGAACTTTTGGTTAAATTCGACAAATATTAAGATTAATATGACTGTAGAAGGTATATATACGTAAGGAAGCTCGTTAAGCAAATGATAAATTGACCAAACTCAATGGGATAGTGATTTAATTTCATCGGGAATTAATTACCATATCAGTAAACAATTGGGTGCTCATTAGTGAATAGCCTCGAGATCACTAAATCAAAATTATTGCTAGGATCTCCAACATGCGAAATCAATGTTCTATGTAATTACTCAGTAATGATATTTGATGACGATTACATTATACTGCAGACCGATTAAAGTTAGAAAATGTGGAATACTGGATTACGACCTAATGGTTGAACGATACCATATTTATTACCGAATTCCGGACTCTACAATACTAACGAATCTCACCAATGTGCGGTTTTAATTGGTTTTCAGTAGTTCCTCACATGATCTTAGATATATTTCTTAATGGTCTTTACAAATCAGCTCGGGTGACAGCGGTTACATAGTGAATAAAACTGATATATCGTAAACTTTCGACATTTTCCAAAGGGATCCGATCCTGTCTCCCATATATAGCAGTGGCTATAGGGATCAGAACACATAACCCTAGTCTACGTATTCAGGAGAAATTTGTGAGACCCCTATACCTTCCTCGGCTGTTTATGACTTAATAAACGATTTTACTAATTTTTCACATCACCTATCTGTGTCGTTTTTTACCTCTTTTCGTATACACTCTTCAATATCTAGTTATTTACACACTTCCTATTACGTGATTTCAACGATGTTTCGTGATTGTTTGTTTATACAGGTTTGACCTACTTTATATGCTGAACTACTGACTAGGGTCTTTATTTTATCATTCTTATCACAACTAGTACTGTGGCTCACCATTCTAGTGGTTCGAGATTTTATTCCGATCCGGATGAGCGTATTACTAAGCCATGAATATAAATCTTTCATTCAACCCTGTATATTACGTTTAGGCTAACCCTGCTTGAGCGACGGAGGTAACAAAGAGCCAAATATGGATTAAGTGGGATGAATTTATTTCAGGCACTCGTTTACTCAGACAGACATTAAGAATGAGAAACAGGGAAACGAAGTGTAGATGAGAACGCAAACGTATCAACTCCATTTGGTAAAACGTGATCCACTATTTATAGCAATAAAATAGGACGAAAACATGTGATGAATGGGGTAAGCGATACACAAACATGCTAATGTAGAAGCAGCTAAGGTTATAGGCGTATAACTGACAAGGTCAAAGCGTGACTTAAGAAGAATAAATTAATTGATCTGTCCGAAAGCTAGAATAACTAATGTGGGTGTGACAGTACTAGACACCACGCTAGTACACTTGCCTTCTTCCTATCAATTCATACCTTTTACCCATTGTGTAGTTATGCGATCGATTTATTTGCGGTCATTAATTCATAAATTGCCTTTATTGACCTCATATTTTCATATAAATGTTCATTTATATTAGAGTGGAGCCTAATGACGACGTGATTGAAAACAGTATGTTCGCTTATATGTTGTTCTATCACAGGTTTTTCAAATGATTGACAATATTTAAACAACCATCAATTATTACACATTGATACCCACACTACAATTTAATGTTGCCCACTTACATTGAGATGGAAATGGTTATTTTGACTAATTACAACGGTTTTATTTATGTCAGTATCGTTATAAGCCACTCGTCTAGTACACTAAGAAGATAGTATTTACCATCTCAACCACTTAATATTATGGAAGAACAGTGTTCTTTGAGAACATTGTCGTTCTAGACAATATCTTTAGTGCCAAATTGGAGTCAACTGTGATTTTCCAATATCACTGCTAACTTTGTCAATATAAATCGAATCCTAATACACTTTGATTACAAAATTAAAGTCTTGTTACCCCAGCCTAAGGCAAAGCCACACGACTAATTTGAGTCACCGACTAATTCTAATCTCAAATTACAAAATTCATCTTTAGAAATGCCGCATCAGATGAAAACATATACATTTCAATTTAGAAATAAAAGTCTGTCTATCAAGTACCTTTCTATTCAGTAGAGAGAACAATGAGTTATTGCACAATAGTTGAAGAATGTCTCTTGTAGAAATGAAGTATCCTGATTTAGGAAATATTAAATCCATAAAATAATATAAACAGATCAATTACAAAGTTACTGTATCATGTTGGGAAAGTGTTCATACACCAATCTAAAACCAGAAGACAGAATATTTACTTGGCGGCTTCACGGTGTTGAGGTATACTACTGTGATATAGCAGATCTTCGCCAGAAACACACAATCGGTCTAAATCTATCACAGATCTGAAACAAATTGATTGTCATTTAGACATTTATACCCAAAGTCAAGTTTAATAGTATGCAACATAATTAAATAAAACTTAAACCAGTTAAAAAAGCGTACTTTGCAGGTTTGTATAATACATTATACAAATCTATCAGTGCTAATCTGCCTATTACTTTGGGTATGACCGATCAACAAATACGATACGGTAACTAAGCTAGACGACGTGACTTTCGTAACCAGTAGTTGGAAACTCTGGGTGACATGGCTCAGAATCGATCACAATGGCGTAGGTGTATACACTCTCTGTCTTCCCTTAGACTAAGAGAATAAAATCGCTTCATATCTTTCTTTCTATGTACTAAATCTTTCTTCCTGTACTATGTTCTTATATGCAACCTTTCTTTTATACCTTACCACCACTGAATTAACCACTATGAATTCGGTGTTCAGTTTGTTGTGCTAATGAAGTATGACAACTTGAACCGATGTACATATGTGCCTGGTCCTACGTTGTAGCTGACTGAACACCAAGAAAACTTCGTTGGTTAATTCTGCCTGACCGTCCTCCACTTTTAGGGACTGTCGAATTTATACATAAGATATTTTAAAATATACTTAAACATTTTAACCAACAAACCACTGATAACGACAAAAACAGTGACTAGGTTCTGTTTTAGTTTGATAATTAGATTTCAATGAAACTGTCTATTTACCGATGACACTTTCCATCAAAGCGAATCGTTCAGAGTAACATACCTAACAAATTTAAAACTTGTGCTGGACCAATAAAAACACTATTCTATACACCATATGAAATAACTCCGTTGTTAGGAAAACTGAAAGCAACTTTAAGTAGACTGATGAAAAACTTGTTTCTGACAATGTCTGTTAGAGTACCTAAAACAAGAAGTGGACCCAATCCATTTACCCTGTATCAAACTAAATAGTAATACGGTTGCGTACGATAACTCTGTATTTTATCGAGGATAAACATCATAAGATGTTCAGTTAAATCGCTTAAAGCTGTGAATTTTTCGGTATACTCGTCTAACGAAACTACGTCACACATACCGAATAAGTAGGTCCACAAATCTCGAACATTAACGACCACTAATTAACACAAGTAATAAAAAATATTTATAATTGAACTTTATAGGGAGTAAGTATTGAAAGCTATGCTTACTCAGCCTCGAAATATTTCGACATACATAACCTGCGTAGACCACCAACACCCTTCGATGAAAGCGGGGTGACTGTTTTCATAATGATCACATCGGTTGGTTTATCATCAGAGAGATAATTTTCATCTATATTGTCGACATTCACAAACTGGATTTGTCTAAAAATGTACAAAATTAACATGGCCATACATAAAAATATATAAAGTCTACCTGTCAAGCTTTTCTTCCCAAGATAATAGTTTCAATTTCCTCTTTTTATATTTCATCTCAGATCTAGCGTCAAATAAATACTGTCTGTAGTCTAATCGGATAGAAATTTTTTCAATTTATACAGAGTTCACGACATGAATCGAAGAAAAAAGACAACAGACATGGAAAATTAGACACTTAACTAGCCTCGTGAGATTAGTTGTTTGCTTGTTAGAGTAGCATTGAAAACAAGTTATTTTTACCACCAAACAATTGCTCCAAACCACTCAGGTTTAATAACTGGCATCTGATTGAGTATGTAACTCATTATACCCCCAATAACCGAAATATCTATACGTTTTCTTACATATGCAAAAAATAGCCAACAGGAATGATACCTATGTCGTTTAACACTGTTTCTTATTAATTCTTCTACTAATCGTTTTAAATTATCCCCATATACCTGTTATAACCAGTAAAATACAAATGACAGCAGTCTGAACTATATGAGACCACAATGTGTTTGTAATACAGAGAAACTTTTTTTGTTTTGTAGAACACTGTGAATGTATGTAATACACTCACATTTATCATGTAAAACAATAGACAACAATCAGCAGTAACACAAGCCTCAACAGCTATAGCACGTACTATTAGTGTTTCGTTGCAAGCAGGAGCGATCTGAAACACAACACAACAGTCAGGACCGGCAGATATCACCCAAGTAAGAACACGGCGTACGGACACAACAGAGGTATATTTAAAAGCTGAATTAAGCAGTTCAAGTACAAAAAGCGAAGTCTATTACAAAACGGTTTTACTCATTATCCTGTAGGTTTAGCCTGCGCAAGGCTTCTTCTTCTAGTACGTTCACTTTCTGTTGCTCTGCAATAAGGAAAACAAACTCGTATTAGTAAAGTCATATGTAATGATTTTTGATACCGTTACACTACCCCCTCTCTCCATGATGCACTGTCCTCAGTGCCCGGTGCTGGACAAACATGTTTAACATAGCAAGAAGATGTATGATAACGACACGTCTTACCTCTGTTCTGCACACGATTATGCCCACATTTCCGGGTTTTTCGACCGAAATGATGGCAGTAAAAACATTCGGTTTTTCGATTCTGTTGATGGACTCGCGGTGGTTGTATCGAGGGACGATAATTGACCGCAGAAAGTGTTTTTGCAGGATCAACTGGCGCGCGACCCCCGACTCTTGGATGGCCATCACCGTCGAATAGATTGAAGTTGTGGTGCTCCGTGGCTCCTTTCGCCTTCTCATCATCTAAATACGACAAGAGCCACAGCTAACTGTTTTGCTGTATCCAATTCACCTTCCCAGAATTGGAGAATTTTAGACGAATGTTCTTCTCTGGCGATGGATAGTCAGCTGACAACTATCCAGTTTTTGTCTCGACGCCAAACGACGAGTGGAGAACCAATTGACTACCTTCATTCCCTACAGCAAGCAGCCATCCAAGCTTTTCCCAACCTAGAATTCCCGGTCCGAGAACTTGTACGCTCACGTCTTGTAGAAGGGCTTTCGCCTGGTGCACTGCGCCAGCACCTCTTATGCATGCCACCTAAAAGTATACAGGACTTAAGAACCACAATCCTTCGATTAACGGCTGCTAACAAGTTAGTAAAGTCACATGTAGTGATTTTCAATACCGTTACACAGATGTTAGTTGAAAATTGCGCGCGTCCTTAACGACTGATTCAAATTGCCCAAATGATTGTGCACGGAATAGAAGAAACTTTCGCTTTACGGGCTTCCGTGTCCAGTAGAAGTGGATCAACAATACCTCCAGGCAGGAACCCAGGTATATTAACGATAATAGAGGAAAAAAAGAAATTGGTAAATCATAATAAGATGTTAATATTAGTTCTCAAGAATTGGAAGTCGCTTGGACTAGCTCAGCTGGCAGCTAATTCCAGCATTTGACAACTCTTAAGGAGTAGAAGTTGGGTCTACAGTCCGTTCTGCTGTGTGTCCCTAGTTTCTGGGTGCTACCTCCTAGGTTTGTATTGGGACTAAGCTTAAGTAAGTGTCCATACCCTTTTGGAATGAGGAAGGAAGTACTACGTTTCCGTATTCTAAGTGGAGACGAATAAAACTGTTGAAGATAACGTGGAAAGTTCTTCCTTCAAACTGGCCCATAATGCGTCTCAATGTTACTTGTCCAAGGTTTGCTCGAAAGGAATTTTTGTCACAGTTAGTGTAAGACTTTAAGTCGTAGAGCACCAGCACTCCTAAATCTTTTTCAACTCGGGATACTTCTAGAGAAGATTTTGCTTGGTTGCGGTTGTAGCCTGCAACATGTTTCAGATGAACTACTTAACACTTTGAAGTGTCAAAGGTAAGTCCGTTGTCATCTGCCCAAATTTGAAGTCAAGTCAGAACCTCCTGAATTACATGTATATTCTCTTGGTTCTATATCTCTCTCTCCAAAGTCTCACGTCATCAGCAAAACGTAATAAGTCTGACGATACCTGTTGTGGAAGGTCACTTGTATAAATCAAGAAGAGAAAAGGTCCTAGTACTGAGCCCCGGGGAACCCCACTAGGACACTCCATAGTATGCGATAAAGTGATGTTTGTAAGGATTTATTTACCGTTACAGATCACTTCTCCCCCATCGGGAGGGGCTTGTCGTCGACAAACACCCTTCTGAAAGCTTGATACATTCAGCAGCATCTGGTCGTCTTTCCTTACTGTAAGGGGTAATGTGGTGCAATATAGTAATGAAAAAACAAATACGATGAAGATTTCGACTCATTTTAATTTTCGTCAGTTTTTTATCTTCTCCAGCTGTCCTGGGAAAATAAAAAAGGATATGTACGTGCATGCTGACTGCCAACCGTAGGTGTGTAAGGACACAAAAAAGGGGAAAAGGGTAATTAAACGTATGTACATGCATTTCGTAAACATGCAACAGCGTAGAAACAATATTCATCGAATGAATTACTGTTTCTCGTGATAAAAAGACATACACATATGAGCATGTTGGCAACAAAAAACCTGTTTCTGCTTTTTGAGTACAGGTTAAGTATAAATATGAGCATATCAAATGAAGTTTATTTTTGATTCTTTTCGATACCAAAAAATAATTGAGACGAAACAATGTGTAGTGTAGTGTCATTCGTACAGTATTCATTCAAATGTTCAAGAAACCTTGCCCTTCTTCCACGGCGCGTTGTCAAATACTACCGAATATTGTCATGCTTTCGATTTTATGGTGAAGCATCGCACTTGTGAGACTCGCGTCTTTCGATTGTACCGGAGGAAAACCGATATGAATACGGTTTCCTTCTAAATCGTTCCGTTTTTATTGATGATGTCGTTCTTAAGTTCACGGCGAAGTACTTTGAAGGATCATTGGTATATCGTTTCGAGAGGTCGTCGAATTGAGTCGCAGCACACAAAAATGTGGCTACTATAATAGATGGTGCCTGGAGGTAGTTTGCAGGAAACCCTGGACCCGAATTTCGTGCTACTTGGCGCTCGTCAGCAAGGTGTACCTGTAATCGTGGAAGGGGACTGATGCTCCCTGACGGATTCGACCCCGTGTCACCCAGCTTCACAGTCAGAAACGTTACCACTGAGCTATCCGGGCCGCGATCAACCTCCTGTAGGACTGAGATGTAACCACAATTGATTGATGACTGGGTGGTGACCAATATCATGTGTGTCAAGTCCTTACTAGCGCCGATCGAATGCTATCGACCATGGCTACTATATCGTAGGTCAGGTTGGACGAAAATATCAATTGATTGAGGTCGAGTGGAAACAGGTTTAAATGAGCACATTGCGTTTGTGAGCATGCTCGTGCAGGTGTTCAGATCCATACTTACTGAAGATGAAGGATCTACGAATTGTCCCGGAAGTCGGAGTGTCGTTCCAAAACCATTTGAGCTGCAGTGTATCCAACGTCAACTCTTACTGAATAGCAAATACCGAGCAGCACGAATGGAAGAGAGTTAGTCCACTGTGAAACTTTTGCAGCAGAGAGTGGAACCTTAGGCTGTCGGTGAAAGCGTTCCACCAACCCGTTTGCCTGTGGGTGGTAGGTGGTCGTTCGGAAGCGAGTGATTTCTAATAGTGTAGTCAGACAACGGAAAAGCCCAGATTCAAACAGGCGTCCACGGTCTGTAGTGATATTTAAGTGTCAGCCAAAGCTTACTGCCTACCATTCGACGAAGTTGCAAGCCACTGCCTCAGCAGTAATGTCTCTTATAGATATTATCCTAACAACTTAGGTTGATTAGTTAAGGGTTGACCTCAAACATCTAAGTATGTGTCAAAACAACAGAGCTCAAGTATTCGTTCACTTCCGTATTTTGTAAAGGGATTATGTTTCAGATTATCTGACATTGAATTTTTAAATACTTTGTGTGTTTGAACAGGTAACCTCGTGCTCGAATGTCTAAATAACAATCTATCCACTAGTAGTCTGGTTTCTTCTACTAATAGAACGAGGGATACCCAAAGAAACGTAACTGTTTCTGACCATCGTATTAAACAGTCTGTATAAGTCAAGAGATAAGAATATCCACTTGAATTTGGCAAGAGTTTTTCCAAGTCAATTTAAACATGGTCGGAACGAGCATAGGGAGCTTTGAATGGTCATAAGTGACATTTGTTGTGTCTGATCACCTTAGATTTCTAGCAACTTGCGCAGGAGCGTGCCCACTCCCTCACGTCTTTATTCATACCAGATCAGCAAAATCGTTTTGCTGTGAGCTTGATTGTTGCGCGAACACCTGAATGAGAAAGATTGTGCAACGTGGTGAAGATGTTGCGTCAATAATGTTGAGGCACGACCGGACGATCCGTACCTGTAGATGTATTACGTAGTGAGGTTTCCTTACCTGTTCCCATCTGTTTAATGCTCAGTTTAGGGGATGTTGGAGGTAACTCGTACTGAAGATCAATGTCTTCTTTTTGAAGTTTAATAAGGTCAAGTCACTGGAAACTGTTCGGAGAAGTTACACGAGACAAGGCGTTTGCATCTACATTGTTTGCTTCAGAAATGTGTTATGTATCTAAGGCGAACTGCAAATGTAGTCCAGGA